ATGCCTTCAAGCCACTTTGGCTTCGTTCCCATGACAGATAATATCAGTGTCAGGCCCTAATGTTTTTTGTATATGCATTTATATACATGTGTGTAGTTGTGTATGTGTGTTTTTGTGTTGTGTGCACTTGTACTGACCTTGAGATGCAATGCGCCCTTTTTGATGCCTAATCGTGCTACTGGGTACAGCATTGCGAGTAGTGTGTGCTTATGTATGTGTGCGTGGGGGGTGGGATGGATGGGTGTGTGGGTGCGTAGGTGTGTAGCTGCCAGGGTTGGTGGCGAAGCTGACTTAAGGTGGAATATATAAACAATAGCTAAAGCCCAGCTGGCTGACTGACTGACGGTCAAGCGTGGGGTCGGCCCAAAATCAGTCTGAAGGACAAATATAAACTCTGGCACTTGGCGTAGGCAGTAACAGTCAGTCGGAGAAGGGGCCGGTTGGGGTCTCGGGTTGACGAGGAGTGAGACTCGAGCCCCAGCTGGTTGTTGCCTGGGCGTTTGGGGGCACTTTGGGCAGGCCTGACCTGTGACCACCTGCGAGAGTGGAGCAAGAACGTCGAGATCCGGCAGAAGGGGATTGGGCAGTGCTGGGAGCCTTGGCCACCTGGACGGGAGGATATGAAAGGTTTTGAGGGCAAAGAAAGTGGTTACGTGGCCAAGGGGTCGTGATGCGAACGCCTATGGCTGCAGCTGCCTGCAATTGGCGCTGTTTCACATGACGATGCGACATAGAGACAAGATCAAAATGATGAACACGGTTGGCCGGTTAGTCGGAGGTGTCTACCAGACCATTGGAGAGTGGACCTATTGATTTAGGCCGTAGCCAAGTGGGACGCCAAAAAATGTGAAACCCAAAGTTGACACAAGCAAAGAGACCGTTACGACAGAGTTATAGCAACTTCACGTCCGTTTTGTTTACATCCCCAAAGGCACCATGTCTAAACTCGTCGATAGATCCAGTTTGTCCATGTTCTCGCTATTTCGTCTGGTCATTTCACGTTCGTGTGATCAGTTCATCACTCGGTCAATCATTCAATCGGTCATTCACTCATTCCCTCGAGCTTCCCATTAATTTGTACTCGTTTTCCGTTTGTACTAATACCGACCTTTTCTAATTTGATTTCTCTCTATGCCTTTGTGTGTTTGTGAGAGTGCTTCTCCCTGGTTTCCTTTGAGTTTGCACATCTGCCCATCAGAGCGTGTCTATCTCTTGTTCGGTGTGTTTATATACGCCTTTCTGCCATTCTGACTGTTTTTTTTTCCTTTTTCCATATTCTACGTCCCTACCTCCATTGCATTTATCTCCCGGCCTTGACTCCATAGTCGGCTTCTGTCCATTTGTCCAACTGCCGGCTCGTCTGTATGTATAGAATGTCATGTTGTACCCTCCCATCTGCGCCTATCCATCCCTGTGGGCATGCCTGAGGTCTCATTCAATTTTAGCCTACTGACAAGATACATTGAGTACCAACAATATTTTATTTTTTTAGCTCTTGCATGTCTGTCTGTCGTGGGGTAACTCGCGTCTCCCTGGTCGACTGGTTGGTTGTCCAGTTTCTTGCTGATTGCGAGTAGCAGGTAACTGTTTGGCTGTAGACCAAGAAATTGGTAGATAGTCCACACTTACTCGAATTACTATCCAAACCTCGTTATCACATTTGCTCCCAATCGCTCAAATATGTATCAGCTCTCTTCAAGCTCGTTTTGTGCTTGGTACACCGATTCACAGTTCGGCAACACTCATACTTTATCATTGCCTCAACAACTGT